TCCCCTAAAAATGCATTACTGTTCATCCTTTTTTTTTTTTTTTACCTGTATGGTTTGTGAATTTTTCTATTTTTAAAAGAAGTAGAAATATGCACTACCAAACTGTAAAATAGACCCAGAATGCTAGGTGCATCAGTAATGGTAATTTTTTTTTTTTTGTTTCATAATGTGGCTTCTAGACCCCAGATGAAGTTTAGTGCTTGGTTTAGTCTGTGTCCAAAATTGCCATTACCTCAATGAGGAAGTCTCCCATCCTCAGGCCCGCCCTCCACGCCACGCCCCCCTCATCGACAGACTCCAGGTATTGCAGCGCAGGAAACGCTGGCGTTGGAGTGAACTCCTCTATGGGAGTCTGAGCTGAGAAGGATAAGACAACAAGAAAGAGCAGGGAGGGCCAGAGAGATCGGAAGGTGAGAGAGAGAGAGATGGCATATGAGAGAGATCTATATAGAAAGATGAATATGTGTTGAATTTTGGAAAAGTGGCTCACCTTTGGCTCCCCTAAGCACAAAGCCAAATCCCTCACTGTCCTTCTTCTGTAGGAGCACTGTCTTCTCCTTAATGATGTAGTCACTTAGAGAGAGTAAAGAGAGAGCAGAAGAGAAATAGAGAGGGGGAAAATGGGATGAAGAAGAAGAAGAAGAGACCATTGGAGAAAAGGAGAGCTATAGGATTTCTGGAGCAACAAAAAGTAATTGCTATGCAAAAAAAGCAGTTTCTGAATGTGGAAAACAGCTATACTGCATCACATTATGAAATAACACTGCAGCAAAAGATAGGTTGGCTTGAGAATGTCATGCAAAAAGCGATGGTGCACAAAAGAGTTGATGGCAGGGATACAGTTAGTGTCACAATGGGAGGGAGGAGTACACGAGATGACACTCCATACTATGGACTGTTCCAGCTCAAACTGACAAGCACTGGGCCGGGCGAATAGCACATTAGATAAATGTGCACATATACTTCAATGATAATGGAAACTTCCAACTACACCTAAATCACTGTATTAGCTTTAACCGCCTCTGGCAAATTTAGCAACTCAGCGCACCACTATTGGTCATACATGACACTCCAGATCATGCACAAGAAGGAGTCGGACAAGCCTCTTATCTCTCTACATAAACAGCTCCTCCTGCTTAAAACTTACAGCCTGGGAGGGCAGAAACAGCAATCACAGACATTTGTTGGAGCGGTGCATCAACTGGCCCAGGAAGCTTTTTCATTATTCTATTATCATGTCTGGGACTTTTGGCCCAGCTGATGTTACAGACCGTTCTCTAATATGGGGGAGGTTAAATAGAGTCCACACTGCCACGCACAGCCAACATATCATGACTCATTTCTGGACTTGACTTTCTAACAATGTCATTTCACCCTGCTTCTGTTAGAGAGCCCAGGGCTTGAACAGAGCTGTGTGATTTAACAGGAATTCCAGATATTTCTTTTCTAGGAAGTGTATTTCTGTGTTAGGCTGTGCTACATTTCAGGCAGGACTTTTGATTTTTTTATGTCTGGCAGAGGACCCCCCGTCACTCCAACTCCAATGTCATTCTGCCTCTGCCACTTCTGAAACTAAACCTACACTGGTGCTAAAATAACCATAACAATATAACATTATATTCCACACTGAAGCTTACTAGACAGACCCAGCAAGTTCTTGACAATTTAATACGACATTCACAGCTGTGGAACCACAAATGTACAGCAGAGTACTGAGTGTTGGCCCACAGGCCTGACGATCCAGACTTCGACACCAAGCCGAAAGTTTAGCACTGAACAGACGATTGCTACGTTCCCCTACTGAGGTCCATCCCTTGTGTGCTCTCCATCAATGTTACTGTTTCGCCAACGCACGGCCGCCTTCCAGCCATCTGCTCCTCACACCTCATTCCTTTTTCTCTCACCCTGTCCTCCATCATGCTTTCCCTTACTAAAGATCAGCGGACTGATCCACCGGGTTCTTCATCAATCCACTTCTACAAGGGGGAAACATGTCCAGTGTTGGTCCCCCCAGGTTCTAAGTTGTGTTGCTGGCTTGAAGTAACATACCTGATTTACTTTAAACAAATGAAGCTATTTCCTTTGTGTGTCACCATATTGACCACTGGCCTGGCCAAAAAGTACAAATGCCCCTGGTTAATATCTATTGGTTAGTAGGACGCACTCTGTCTGAACTAGCTGCAATGAGGCTGTAAGCCTACTAGAGACCAGAATTATTATGTACCCTCCTGAGTCATCCTCTCTTCTAACCACAATTACTGAGAAAAAAGGCAACATTTTAACCATTCACCTGCTGAATGTACATGCAGATCGACATGCTATGTGGGGACAATACCCACACACCACAAGTGAATCAGCTGACAGATGTTAGTGACACACTGTGGATGGAGATAGAAGAGCAGTACATAAATATACTATACTGTATGTACAGGAAAGATACTCCCACAGCAATCAAGCACTGTGACGTATACACTTATATATGAAAACCACATATATTCCATTCAGTGTATATAGTCACACACACACACACAGAGACATCCATAGATATGACTGGTATCTCAAATTAGAGCTTGAAAGGAACTGACAAACCGCACTCTTGCCACTTATGGACTTATTTGCATTCATCCTTCTGAATGGACAAAATACAAAACCATTTTTAGTGAAACAGAGAAAAAATATGGGCTGTGACAACAGCATTTTAAAGGAACGAGGAAAAATGAGAAGTCCCGGTGAATGAAAAATATCAGCTTAAAGAAGTCATGACTCAAAGAGAATGAAATACACCCACACTGTCTGACTGAAATGCATCAATATGTGCTCCCTTTCACGCGCTAACACACGCACACAGTGTTCAGAGACACACGGGAGGAAGACACAAAAATAAACATGCTGCAGAGGCTCCAGTCAATAGCCACTTCCGTCCCACAGATATTCACATGCAGAGGAAAAATCAAATTTAAGACACACGCACGCACACTCAGAGATGCATACACACGCACAGAATACATAGCTTATTAGTCTGGCTTTGAAAAGGCACGGCCTCTCAGTAGCATCATCTACCTCTCCCCTCTCTCCATTGTCCTCTCCTCACATCCATAGCCAGCCAATGAATGAGGAAACAGCCGCTACCTGTAAATGAACCACACGCTCCTGTTTCTGGGGCCCAGTGATGGCCACGAAGAAGAGAGGGAGAGAGAGAAATCTCTCTCTCCGCATCCCCCCATTGCCATGTCCCCCCCCCTCCTCTCTTGCACGCTCTCCACCACCTCCTCCTCCTCTCGCTCCCGCCTCCCTCCTCCCAGTCTTCCAGCAAGAGCTCAGCCAAAGAGAGCCACGAGAGTGGAGGAGAGAGAGCAGGAGAGGTGGGGCATGAGAAGGAGAGAGAAAGAGAGAGAGAAAGAGGGTGAGGGGATGCCGGGCACCTCAGACAAGAGAAAGACAATGTGAAAGAAAGACAGAGAGCGAGGAAGAGAATAGCAGCGATTATCACAGCAAGGAGACTGTTGTGTGATGTGTGTGCTAGTGGATGACAGAAAGAGGGTTCGGTTGCAAAATAAAGGAGCTAGAGAGCTGAATTTTTACAAGTGTAGATGTGGGGGATGGGCATATCAGATAAACTAACAGCTGATTTCTCAGACTGGATTTACTCACACACACACACACACACACACACACACACACACACACATTTGTCAACTTTCCTGCCTCTCCCTCCTCTCCTCTAAAGCAGGGCTGTCATCGCCATACTCGCGCTCTGTCTCTCTCTGAAATAATAACTGACATTCTCCCAAATGCCCAGCTGCAGTGAGGGAACATGCTCCAGATCACCTTGCTCTTAATTGAGCACCACTTCACCACTGCGCTGCAATTATGCTTAACCAACTTAACACAGGTAATATAACCCCAGTGGCTGCTATTTCCACGCAGAATACAAGCACAGCTGCATTAACATGAATGCCTTTTTTAAATGACAGTGAGAGCTACTCAGCACAAGGGTAATGTCGGCTACAATCTGTAAGAGGCTGTAAAACCCCGGGGCGGCGACAAATAAGTCTTTCTCACTAGCCCAGGGATGTAAGCAATGCTGCTAACCAATGCTTGATGTATCATCTTCCTCATGACTCATCAGCAGGATGATGTACTGTATATACACACAGAGACAGAGCTATATTCACATGCACAGTAACTGTGGAAAAAACATGCATAGTTTCATAATACATGACTGCAGCTGCAGAAGAACACACCTTCTACTACAGCATTACTGTGTTTAGTGCGAAGAAGTGCCAAGAGAGGAGAGAGAGGCATGTGGATGGAGGTGTCAGTGAGACAAGTGCATTTGTCTGGTGGAGCCAAAAGAGGCAGAGCTGAAAATGACATGGCTGCTCTTTGTGCTTTCAGCACTGACGTGTTCACACAGCCAAACAATAGGGAACAAGTGCTGTCCAGGATCAGCAGAAAACAAACACATACAGCATGCAGGAAACACAATAGGTGAAGCAAAGTGGACACATAAACACAACGACCTCCTGTTAGGCACAAAAAAACAGCGTGTCAACTATTTCAATCACCTTGACTGGTCTCAGTAATACAGTTCAGTTGCTGCCCACACTCCTTTGACTATCTACAGCTAGAATTACAACAAGGGCTGCAGCCAAACAGGTATGTTCTAATTATATTCATCCATTTAATTTCTAAACTGGTATCCAGTTCAGGGTTACAAGGGGCTCCGGCCTGTCCCATCATGCAGTGGGAGAGAACTTACGGACAATTCAAGATGATAACTGTCACATTTATGTTCTTCCAGCAATTTACGGTCACAGCAGCTTTACTTACCTGGGGCCATCAGTGCCATCGTAGGCTCCCACAGTGACGTTACGGAAAAGCTTTCTCTTGGCTTTCTCGCTGCGCGTCTCTGCAAAGCACATGCAGGAAAAACACACGCTCGCTTTAAACTTTCAGCTTCTGTCATGACACCTTCTCCAGCTTTTTGCAGAAGTGTTGTGTCCTCAGCACAGGGCACAAATAAATCAAATATATCTACACCCCATTTTTGCCTGTTTTTTTTAGCATGGCATAATGTTTTGCTTACTGGGTGAAAAGTGCAGCTCTGAAAATAGGAGCAAATCGAATCACTGTACCGTACATGTGCCACTGTCTGCTGCAAAAAAGGGCCTGTTGGTAAGCATGAGTGTGACATGTGCTGAGTGTTACAGTGACTTAAAGGATAATGCCAGCCTCAGGGAGTGTGTAACCCATTTTTACAGCATAGCCTTTGTCCAATCTATGTGATTTTTTATGATCATTATGTGTCTTGTTAACCCACCTCTTAACATTGTTAAGTTAATGACAGTATTCCCAGAACTATAAATAAAAAATGTATTTCAATCAAAGACATTCTTGCCAAGCACAAGCCATTCTTCAAAAATTAAACCTACAATATTCAACTCGCAGTACCACAAAACCCAAAGGGACTCTAAACACAGGCCGAGCATTTACCATGAACATAATCATATTTTAAGAAATGACAATGAGACGAGGCTCTCACTGGCCTTGTCTTACCTAATCGATTGTCTTTGCTGAGGGCTGCCTCCTCTTCCACACAGTCTGAAGGAAACCAGCCAGTGCGACCTTTCACTGTTCCCTCCCAGTATCCCCCTTCTCCTACACTTAACACTGAGACACATAAACAGATGGACATATGGACAGAATTATATCTGAGCAGTAAATCCACTCTCACATACTCTTGCACTGTTATATATCATTCCCTCAACCTTCCTTGTTTACCACCTTTTTAAATAACACTGTAGAATCCATGCATTGTTTTGTGGTGAGTGAATTCATGTGCTCATGCTTCTCATTTCCCTTGTTTACAATCCTTTCTTTAAACTGTCTAGGGCATATTCTCATATTTCACCATTTATAAATTTTGGCTCAATGTCACCTTTAACTTTGTCCCCTTTGTTGAGGGATAGCTCTCTGTCTCCACTTGCAGAGTGAGCACGAGTGGCCACGTACACCCGCCCTGGCACTGCACTGTACATACGCTTCATCTGACCTCCCCCGCCGCCCGCTGAGGCTGCACTACATAGGGAGAAAGAAAACGAGAGAGTCTCTTACGAAGCCCTGACAGGCCTGTTTTGCACACTGTGGAAAAACAAGTGAGACAAAGTGAGACATACAGTGCAGCTTGTCAGGCTACATCACAGACAGCCAGCACTTGAGTCATACTAATCAGTCATACCAGCACTAACACTGCATGCTCCAATCTTGTATTTACTAACAGTGTCAGGCCTTCGGTACATGCAGTATGTCAGGTATGTACCGACAGTTCTAACACAGTGTGCCTCTCTCATGTGCTATAACAACAGTATAAAGCACACGCTAACAATGGCAGCTAGTATACAAGAACTTAAAGAATCTAATGTAGGGTAGTATGAAATGTAATGTAATGTGCTTATGGGAAATAATATAAAGCATGTGGAGGTGAATGCCAGTCAAGCTCTCCTTTGTGTTTACTGCTAATTAGAAAATGTTACTGCTAATCCAAAATGGTGAACATCAGCATATTAACATTGCCATTGTATGTCAGCATGGTGACAGCATTTTGCTTAGAGCAGAGCTGTAGCAAAGTACAGCCTTACTTAGCTGTAGACTCTTGTCTCAGTTATGTCCAAGTTGTTCCCACTGAGCTACTGCACCACCATCTGACATTTTTCAACTTTTTTCAAGCCTTGACTGGTGCATCTATTCCTGTTAGTCTGAAAGACAACACTGTCCACCCCTATCACACCAAACATATATGACATTCTTGTAGTTTAAAATAGTACACAGTATGCAATTGAGACACCAATAGCAATTTCTCTCCATACAGCTGATGGTAACTGTAGATTTGTGACTCTCTGATGGTGGATGGCCTTAAAGGACCTAGTAAGAATAGGAACTCTCCACACAAGTTTTACAATAAGTGCGTCTTCCCTCCACAGGTTCCTTACCCCTGTCTGCCTCTTGGATGCCGGTGCCTCTCCTCTGTGTCGCTTTGGCCCCCTCTTCCTCTGGATGGGGAGCGAGCACGTGTTCTGGGGCTGCTGGAGCTTCTAATGGCTATGGAGGCCCTGCGCTGGGCCTGCAGAAGCACAGCGAGTCCCATGAAGACAAAATGTCAAAGCTGATCCAGTGACATAGTATCATTACAGTAAAACTCTGACAAGCAATGCAACATCAGAAATCAAAATCATCATCAACAAACTTTATTTCAGACACACCGGTGGCCCATACAATAAACAAAAGAAGAAGAAATACAAGACATACATTTAGAACATAGTCAGATAAAATACAACAATACAAAATTTACAATAAACAATACAATCCAGCAACTAGAACTCCAGTCCTCTCAATTCAGATGACATTCCGACAGAACTCATTTTTTGATTAGTTATACTGAAAATAATGCCATTAATGGATTCAGGCAACCTCTCCATATATCTATAAGATTCTTAATGACAGCAGAGCAGGTGGGTACACCAACATTAACAAACATTTGGCTCGCACTGCAGCCTCTTAGAGTTTTAATCAGCAGCCTCATACTGTCACTATAGGCCACAGTCAGTCTCTGCACGCTGCTGTTTTTGTAGCGACACCACAGATGGGCAGTATTACATGGGGGCACAATAGGCCTTAAAGAGAGAGATCCTCACAGCTATCGAACACACACTATTGTTTCATGCCAAGATGTTGGCTTGTGCGTACAACTTTCTCCACTGTCTGTAGATGTCCTAATCATGTGAGAGATCACAAAGACCTAAATATTTAATGTCCTCACAGTCCTTGAGGGCAACACCAGCCATAAAGAAATCAGGAAAGACTAATTTCCGGTCTTATTTATTCTAATGGCCATAATTTTGCTCTCATTAGCTCTCAATGTCTACTCCAACCCATACTGTGAACAAATCCTCAGTAACTGTTGAAGACCAGCACTGCATGGACTGAAGAACACCAAGTCATCAGCATACATAAGGTGGTTAATAGGAGAATCATCAAGCATACACTCAGTTCCACATCTATTTAAGTCCACTCAAAGATCAGCCATATAAATGTTGAAGTGAAAAGGTGATGGTATTCCTCCTTGTCTAACCCCATTATTCACAGAATTACCCCATTTTACTCTCATTGTCTGTTGTGCCTCGGTACGCCAGGACTCCAGATACCTGCTGTAGGCACACCTCTTAGGTTAAATCATTACTTAACAAATTTTTTTATGGTTATCGCATTCAAATGCCTTAGAACCATCAATAAACACTGTTGAATTTTGTCTATTATATTTTTCTAAAATGCCTTTTAAGGTAAAAAGCTGTACCATGTTTTAAACCAAACTGATTATCAGTAGTAAATACATACCATTCCAACTTATCCAGTAGGATTGTCTCCAGCACTTTGGACAGGATGCTGGCTAAGGCTATTCTCCAGACTATTTGGTTTGCCAGCTTTATCTTTAATTACAAGCATCAACAGAACATAAAACTACTGTCAGGTAGAATACCATGAACTAAGAAGCCAGTAAAACAAAAGAGAAACAGAAAAACTAGCATGTTATATGTTCAGCAGTTATATTATTCAAACCACATGCCCTTTTATTTTCTATTTTTGTTGGCAAGGATGTTTTACTATTATTCATAAAGCTGACTTCTTTCCAGAAACCATTATACTTTTAACACTGTGCTTGCATTTGCATGTTTCTTATATTCAAATAAAGGTCCATGTCTCTCTCTATGTGACTCAACCCACGCTTTAAAAACCCTTCTAGCCTCAGCATGGAGCTCTTCCACATAATCCTTCCAACCCAGCTTACTATTCTTTACTTTTCTTACATTTATAGAAAGGTCAGCCTCAGATGTGGAGAGATTCAACAATGGAGTCATATAAGAAACACAGCTCATTATAGCATTGCTGGTTCTTACAGTTCATATCACAGCATGCAGTATGTCAGTGCTTCCCAACACAGCATCAGTATATAGAGTTAATTTGTTAATATCACCCTTAGTTAAATAAGACCATTTCAGATTCCCATTATTTGTACTGTTATCTAAGATAAGATAACACTGGAAGATGACCTCAATTTACAATCATCAAAAACAGCATATGGTCGGTAGTGGCCAAATCATATTTAATCTCTATCCTATGTATGGTAGCACATGCATCTGCTGTACATATGCAGTAATCAAGCCAAGAAGTTGCATGCCAAGTAAAGTGTGGATACCTAACCAGAGCCGGATGGGACCTGTCAGTACCTGAGTGTAAGGGCCAGGTTCAGGCAGAAAGTTACAGATTATGATTGGTTCTGGATCAGGTTCGGACATGTAGGTAAAACTTTAGGCTAGACGGCTGGAGCATTCAAATGTCTGATTGATTTAATGATGGGGAAAAACACTGTACAAACTCAACTGTGTCTGGCTCGGGTTAGTTTCGGACATTATATACTATAAGCTTGTCAGGTTTGGATGCCACACTCTCGGACAGGGGTTGGGTTCAAACAAAAAATATGCTATTTGATCTATGCTCTAATGCCAAGCTTCACTAGTATAAGAGAAGCTGTTCTCAGGCAAGATCACCTTGCTACACAAGATCAGACAACTATCAACACAGAACTGCAGTAAGTGATTAATCAATAAATAATTAGCATCAGTGATCTCAGCATTCATTCATCTCCTACAATACAGATGCAAATGGCAGCACTGTCTTGAATAAAAGACATCATACATACATTCACCATCCTTTTGCATGACACTCATATAGTGTATAAACATTCAAAATAATAAAATAACAATCATATCTAACACACAGAGGTTAGTAGATGGTTTTGAGTACCTGTCCTAGGTTGGGATTGGTTGCAGCCTTGATGGGCAGGGCCAGAGGGTCAGACTGGGTCATGGTATTATCGCTGTTAGCACGGAGTAGGGGGTGGGAATGAAGCAAGGGCAGAGGCAGTGTGAGGATGCTCTCTTTTCGCCTGGGAACGTACTTGGGCGATTCCAAAAAGGGCACTGGAGACAGAGGTGTGAGGAGCGATGGTGAGGTTTTGCAAGGAGGAGTAAGAAGCGAGGATGTGACAGGATCAAACGAAATGAGAAATTAGGCAACTTGACAGAGAAAAAGAAGGAAGACTGTAAGGACAAAAATATAAAAAAAAAGGCAGGTGCTGGGAACTGATGTAGCAATTCAGAGCCCCTTCAGAAGAGACAGTTTCATATCAAAGCTTACCTACGTCAGAGTCTTTGTGGTTTTTGATGATTTCCCCGAGTTCAAAGTGACCAGACATTACAGCAAGCTGCAAATTCAGAAAAAATAATTTCCTCTTGTACTTATTGCTATTTCTTGTTTTACTGTGTTGTTGCCTTTTTCTCTTTTCAGTTTGTTGGTCAAAGCTACTGTGGAAATGCTAAAAAAATGCCAAACTATGTTTCTGATGATATAATACTAATTGAGACTTAAACCATTTACCTGAAAAGGGGTCTGACCATGCTTGTTCTTTGCCTCCTTATTTGCTCCCCTGTACAGAAGAACACGGACACAGCTTTCCTGATCAGAGAGGGAAAGTGATCCGTTAACATCTTTAGAGACACTAGGAACAGTAATTATGGCACAGTGATAATAGTTTAACATAACCATTTCTGTTCCATGCTTACCTTGTTGTACAGGGCAGAAATGTGAAGTGCAGTGTTTCCTGAGGCATTTTGAGAAGTGGTGTCTGCCCCATAAAACAGCAAATGCTCCAAGTGCTGGGCAAAGCCATTCTGACAAGCCTTGTAGTTTAGAGAATGTGATAGAAATATCTTTAAATTGTCAGTATTATAGAGTATAAAAGGAGACAAGTTAAAGAGAAGGGGGTAATTTAATCAAGGACTGTTTCAGTGCAAGACAGACAAGAGGACAAAACAAAGATACTGCAAAAGAAATGCAAAGAGAAAGGGAATAATGTCTTACATCCACATTTAGATCCATAATTACTCTTACATAAAAACGGGTCAGAGTCAATTACATTGCACCATGGTGGGGAAGAAAGGAAACAAAAAACATTAAAACAACAGAAACGAACCTTTAGCAGCATGAGAGGTTTCCTCATATTTTTCTACAAGGACTAAAATATCACAAGATACGTATGGAGCAATGAAAGAAAACAGAGCACTGCAAAACCAAAATAAAATACCATGACAACCAGCTCACAGCACAAACGCAAATTTACCAGAACGTCACAGAGACAGAAATGAAGGCAAGGAACCCATATCTACAGTAAGAAAGAGATCATATCCAATGCTTTTTCTAAACTGGACTCAGTTTGAGATGATTCAGGTTTGACTGGGTTTATGGGAAAATCTATGAATGCCTCATTCACTTCATGTTATCTGTCTTTTCATCATAAATCACAATTCTCAGTGCCTTTGCCTCTGAAAGGCTGATATGGATGGTCAGATCGTGAGATGAAGAGTACCTTGTGTATTTCTTCCATTCCAAACTCCTCTTCATCCCTGTACTATGGAAAGAGAGAATGAGGGAAGGAAGGAGAGAAAATGGAGAGACAAGTGAGGAAGGCCAAGAGGGGTGTGAGAAAATGCTGAGAAAGACTGACGGTGGCTCAGAGTTTGTGTGTACACAAAACGAGACAAAGACCAGTGATGCTTTACATGAAAATATGAAAGGAAACCATGAAACTATACATACAGATACATACAGGAATAAATGGACAGATGGACATAGACAGATACAGACAAACAGCAGATAGACAGATAGATACACAGGTAGATAGATATACAAATAGACAGATAGATAGATTATTCAGACAGAGAGAGAGAGAGATCATTGTAAATGTAAACTATTAAACTGTCCACTGCTACCTGATGGGACTCATCCCAACCATCCTCATCTCTTGTCCCCAGCCTCGCCCTGTAGTACAGCAAGGTCTCGCAACAGGAAGTGTCGCCCCCTGTCAGTACAGTGTGGTACAGCGGGGTCAGGCCACAGCGGTCTTTGTAGTCTGGAGATGCTCCAAGGGACAAGAGAGCCTGGCAAGGAAAGAACAGTAGAAGTATTGATATGGATTTTCATGTCTAAATCAATAGCATAAAAACAAATACTATAAGCAGGGGTTAATTTGTGCCAGAACAAGCTGGATCCAGATCCCGCACCTTTGTGACCAGCATTTACATATATAATAAAAATAAATTAAATATATGAATAATATATAAAAAGTCCAAGGTATAATATTTTTTGTACAGCTAGCTATTTCCAACAGCATATTAGTCTAAAATGTGAATAATTAAATACAATAAAAACAGACAGGCTAATTATGTCACAACATAACCAGCCTGCCTAGGTGCCACTGGGTCAGGTGCACATTCAGTGTTATGTTATGTTAGCCACAGAGTGAAAATGCAAACAGACAAGCAAATTTGTTAAAGTTTTTCAAGTCACATCAGGGCACACAGAAGTTAAGCAGGCCATGCAGGAGTTATAAAGCCTACAACTGTTAATGAAAAGGCTAGTACAAGCCAGTCTGATGATAAGGTCATGGATTTCTAAAGGACTGAAGCAAAGCATGGAATAACATGAAAGAGGACTCCTGCCCCATGACTGCGTTATGGGCTGTTTTAAATAAATGAAGTTACAAATATGTTTATTTAACCTTACTGCATTATATAGTGTTATAGTTTATGGACTTGCTTCCTGTTTTGTGCTTTTATTTTGGTTAGTTTCCTGTCTTTTTTCACCTCACCTGCCCCAGCTTTACCCCAGGTTTGACATGTATAACTCGCACTTGTGTTTTGCCTCTAAGCAGCTCCCTTAATGTGGAAACCACACAAATGCACCAGCCATTGAGAGTCTGACTATAAGCCTATAGACTCATTATTTAACATGTGATCTCGTATATATTCCCATATAGTGTTATTGTATATTGAAGCTGCAGCAGGGGTAGACGTGTTTTGTCAAAGGAAAGCAACCCTAAAGTGGCTGTGATATGTGGGATTTGAAAGTAATGAGGCAGCAACCAGAGATCTAAACAGATAACTTTGCAAAAGGCAGTCACAAAAGTGTGAAATTAGTGTTGCTTCCACAACTTTTAGGGCACTGTCAAATGTTTCTAATCAATCTGGTCTAACGACCACTCACATTTGGTGCAGTCTTTGCAACTTGCATTTATTCATGTCAACATTACTTGTTATATGCTTAACTAAACCTAAAAAATTCTAATGATCAGCTTCTTTTGCCCACTTGCCTCTTGGAGTGCTTGCTGTTTATATGCATGTGACTTTAATTTCAAGTCCTTACCAGCAGCCCAGCATGGCTGTCAGCCCTGACAGCTTTGTGCAGCGCTGTCAAGCCATCTCTGCTTCTGAAGTCCAAATGAGCACCTCCCTGAACCAGCACTTTGATGCCCTCCACTGGCAGGCCGGACAGTATGGCCAAAGTAAGAGGGGTCTCTGACACACAAAGGGGGTGGGGGTCACACAGGATGGCAGTTAGGAAGGTGAAAGTGAAATTTGCCCCTTGAACATATTTGATATCTCATATTTTATAAGCTGAACTGATTTGCTAAGTCAAAAGTTACCAACTCACCTCCGGTATCGGGGTCATGAAAATTTGCATCAAGACCTTTATCAAGTATTTTTGCCATCTTCTCTATTGCTCCAGTCTGAACGTAATCGAGGAACTTCTTCAGGCTGGCCTGAGAGTGAATGAGGAACATCTGCCAGTGAGTGGAAACGAATGCCCTCTATCAGTAATGTTTAATAGATAAGAGAAAAAAATGACCTTTGTGCTGAGCTTGGCCAGAGCCTTTTCATCCAGATTTGTCTGTTTATAAACTCTGGTTTTGTACCTAAACTGAAGACCAGAAAAGGATATGTGTGAATATCTTTCTGCAACACAGTTCAGTTTATCAGTGACAACACACAGAGGAAATAGATTACTAGATAATTCTTTTGCAAAAGCAGAAATGCAAAGCTGGGAATCAAAATTAAAGACTTTTTTTAAAGATTCAAAGAATGTAGCACTGTTTTAGCAAGTAATTTGTGCATTTTAGCACTGCTGTTTTAAAGTGTCTTTACTTCAGTAACCGTGCGCATGACATAAACATGAAGGGCAGCATTGTCTTTCACAAAACTGAGATGGGTCTTGTTTATGGTTGAAGAAAGTTCCTGAAAGTGCCAGCTCTATAAACATCTTGATAAAAAAATGTGTATATTGGTAGATAATGATGCACAAGTGACAGAACATAGATTCTTCTGTGATCTAAATGTTTCAGTGCTTTGTTTATTCTCCAGGAATCAAAAAGTGGGGAAATTTTTAAAAAGGCCACCTTGTCTAGAGAATCAGAGTTTGAAATCCCCATGAATCAAACGCAACATGCTTCAGAAAAGGAGTAAACAGACATCAGATAAATGCACCTTCTACTTCCTCTGGATGGTAAGCGGTATCAATGAAAACCACCTGACTAGATGTATTGGCTCCACATCAGTACTGTATGATTACAAACCAATACTGTAACTGGCCAAGGAGCTTGGACTTGAGAGAAGTAGCATCTGACAGCTGAGCTAACCACAAACTGCACCTCGGGCAGCCAGAGAGCAACTGCATTTGTCAGTGATTAGAGATGTTTGGCCAGGATCCAGAAGCAAACTGGGCCCAACGCTTAGAATAAAATAACTGCAGTGTGCTTATCTGTCAGTAAACAGTCATGACAATATCCAGAAACTACTCCATGCCAGCAAACGCTAGTCCAGTTCAAGCACTGAAGTGATTCAGAATGGTATGTTATACAGGCACTCATGGTGCTGTGAGTGTTCTTCTGTGGAGCAGAGTCTAGTTACAAGGCCTCATCAGTACAGACATGTACTCATCTGGAAGCTTGTCAAGAATGTAAACTGAGTTTGAAGCCAAACTCTGGGCGGGTGAAACTGTTTTAGCCCCACCAAAGTCAACATTTACAGAGGATCGACCACCAGAGGGAGCTGTGAGATAATGGTTTCACAGCATGAAAACATATTGATGACATCCAACAACCCGCATCCCAGAAGGTCGAGAAATACGACATAACTTTGGGTTAAATAATGCAATTCACTGCATGTTGTGGATTTGTTTTTCCACTGATCATAGGAATTCTTTTATTAAAAACTAAACACTGAATAATTTGAAACGGCATGATTTCTTTTTTACTTAAGAGCAATAAGGTTTGTAACAATATGTGAATCACTGCAATAGTTGATGTCAAACTACATAAGCTGCTTTTTCGTTCTAAATGAAACTGACATCTAAAGAAAGCTCTCAGCGAGAGTCGTCCCTACCGTTGGTAACTGAACAGATTGTCCAAAAATAACTAATAATAAACATCTCCTAGGGGGATATTTCTGTCTATGGCCCTACAGTCAGTCACATCTCCACCACATCCGCCTCCATACCTCCAGGTAAGGCACTCCTTTCTCAAAAGACTGAGAGTAGTATCGCAAGGTCCGCTCCTCCTCCAGGAACTTGGCGTCCCGCCCTTCCCCAGCCGGCTGGAAGAGGCCATAGTTGTATGCGTCCCACAGTGTCTCGCTGAGGGAGCAGATGATCTGCTGCTTAGCGCTCCACACAGTGCAGTCCTGGTCAAACTGCATACACCTCTAACAGACACAGCACAGGGTAGAACGGAGATGTGCTACTGTTAATGTTTTCTCCACACCTGCGCCGGAAACAGAAATAATAATGGTTAACAAAGGCAAGGTGCCTCATCCCAAAATTAAAGGGCTGATGTCTTACTTCTGAAGTACATGTTGCTGTTGATACTTTATGTGAAACTTTGAAATCAAGGCTTTTTATTATAGAGCATGCTTATATTATATTGCTAATTTTACTTAAGTACAAGGTCTGAATACGTCTTCCACCAGTGCTGAGCAGCAGGACTGCTGCTTTTAATACAAGCCTTTCTCAGCCTTGTTTTCATTATTGTTCCTCTAATAATAGTCTGCTTACATTTTTAATACCACCTCTAGCAGCTCTGAGAAAAGTTTACATTAAAACAGCAAGTAATTTAGTGATAGTACAGTAACTTTGCACATTATGCTGCATGTGTAAAACTGTGCGTGCACACATTTCTACTGTATATGCTCCATTCAGACATATTGGTTAAATATCTGGCCAATGGCACTGGGTGATTATGGATTAATCATACAGCATGAAGGTTTTAGCATCAGATGGTGAATGTGGTGTGGGCAGAATATGAATGCACTACTTTTTAATATTTAATCATATGGCACGTTCATGCAAATAAAATTGCTTATGCTATCCTCAGACTGGCAGGGTATTCGGGTCTAGCTCACATTTATTTTCACACTACTTAATAAGCAAGCAAAGATTTTATACGGGTACTGGCATTTCCTTTTTGTGATGTTCTTTGATCTCTGCATATATAATGTCAGACTTGCACCACAAACCAGAAGAGAAAGATTTAACTAGTATGGAAAGAAAATTTCTTTTGGCTTTGATACACCAGTGGGTCACTGGCCATAATGGGAAAAAATGCCTTGGATGTACTGTGTGTATGTGGTATGTCTAACTAGATTTGTGCGCTCCCCATTTCCTCATATTATCCCATTTTCTTGGATTTCCACAGGAAGGCCGCATTTTTTTGTCCTTATCTTATTGAAGTCTGGAGCTGGAGGACAGAGCTTTAACAACAGGGCTGAGGTCTGAATGACACATATGCCTCCATGTTGTTTCCAGAAAACTAAGTAAAAAAAATTGCACAGCTCAGCACAATTACCCACAAGCCCTCACCGCCTCCCTTCGAGCCCCCACCCTCCACAACTCCCCTCTGCTCCCCCACCACCTCAACTTGGTTACATTACTTGATAGTGTTACTAACTCTACTGGCATGGCAACCAGTTCATTAGTTGAGGAAGCACCCGTTGCTGTGGCAGTGTCTTGGTGGTCCCTGGCAGGTAGACCACATGATGATGGTGTATGTGTGTGTGTGTGTGTGTGTGTGCATGTATACAAGTGGGTTGTATAGTATGTGTGTGTCTGTGCGATCCTATGGGGATGTAACTGTGCAGTGTAGCGTCTGTGTTTCTACTGTGTGTGTGTGTGTGTGTGAAAGAGAGGTAGCTTGAGTGGCAAATACATGGGAGATGAGTCTAATGCCATGTTCACTCTATAGTACACTGACACTTCTCTTCCCATTGTTCTGTTTTACACAGTCAAGGATTTCCTAAGAGCTTTTCTGCCAGTACTTGTCCCCCCTCTGAAGAGTTATTTAGACCTTTACCGTGAAGTATTATGGCTTTTGTAAATGCATATATCTTCCTCTTGGCTTTATCACCGCGCCTCTCTCCTCTTAACATCCATTTTCTCTCTCGCTCTCTTTAAGTAGCTTCCAGTATTCACGCCCTCTCTTCATCTCTCCTTAATTCAGCTCAGTGCTATTTCAGCTGTGAGGTTTGGGGTACAGAGTCTTTGTCAGAGCTGAATATGATGCCTATGGCTGATGGAGACCTAAGAGCAACACAGATGCTTTCTTCCTTTTCAGAATCACTCATTTCCCCAGCTCTCCCCAAACTCATTAAAAACCTATTAGATAATTAGCAATTACTGTTATATTGAGGCCAGATTAGCTGACATGTAGAACAGTTGGAATGTTCAGGGAGTTGAAAATGGAGAAAGGAAGACTGGGGGAGGGTTTACAGTAGGGCACCCATTTTCACCTGGATATGGTGTTAGTGGGCTGGCCAATTCTCACCTGCTGCCACTATACGCGTAAGTGTGAATTGATGCAAACTTCAGCCTTGGAAACAAATTAGGACCATACCCGATGAAAGGCAGATACTCGCATGGTGTTGTTGACCGAATACGTCTGTCTTTGCAGGTTGCTCAGCACAAGTCAAGCTCTGTATTTTTTTTTCTACTTCCTTTTGGGACTTGAGATTGTGGGCTGACTGGAATGAAAATGCTTTGAAAAAGGATATGTGCTCATACAATTGAGAGCAGTATTTAGCTGTAAAAAAAAAATTAAGTGCCCCTGGGTTTCTTTCACTAACTACTTTGAAACTGATATAGAGGCAACACTGCAGTGAAATATAGGGATGAAAAATACTGTGTTTAAAAGGGAAAAGTAAATTCAAAGCCAGCAGCCATGGTCTGGCCTGATATGCTGGTTGAGAAACCTCACTTGGTATCTGTGCACCTAATTTTTGTCACAAATCTGTGTATTGACATATGTACCTGAATAACACAGTGTTGAAGGTATTCCTTTAAATACTAATACATAAGTGATTATAACAAGTTTAGTCTATACTTGCACAAAAATCAAAATCAGTAAAGGTTAAAGCAGCTGAACACATTGATGGCTGAATGTTGTAAAGTAGTGTTAGGTATTTTTAGTCAGATAGATATTGGTTAGGTACTTGTTGTATTAGAAATGTCGTGAGTTTAGACAGGATGTCTAGCTCAGGCTGTTAAATGCTCACTCATTTCCATGAGTTACTCCAGGTTGTTTATGTTCCAGGATAACTAGATAGAAAGTGGCTACTGTATGATATGTTTAGCCTAATCTTAATCATAATATTTTCCTAGGCTTAATGTCCGGACATGTCCCTGAATGTCCTGTATGTTCTTAGATACACACCATTTAATCAATACTCAAACACATTGATTTTCTCCATGTTTTGACTACTGCTACGGTCAGCTGTAAAGCTGGCATATCAGGTGGCGCCACGGTTTGACGTGCCTGTGTAGAATGAGGTTAGCCCAAACCAGATATAATGTATAGGCCTGTTGTGGTTCAGGGTCTTTTCATCTTACATCTGCCTGCGTGCAGTTTGGAGGTGCAAGATACCTGAGCGTGTAATGTTAATTTTTACCTGTGTTCATGGAATAAATCAGCATTTTTTTGTAGTTACTTGGACTCCCTCGTCTCTCAGAGTCAGTATGGTAAAAAGTACGGGGTCTGAGAAATTACTTTTCTTCTACTTCTGTTTGCACATTGAAGCTGTCTCTCTTTCAGGCAGTAATACCAGAGAGACTTGGCTTGAACTACATCCTCATTTGGAAAGACCTCCATCAGTGGCCTGTTTGAGAGGCAGACATTTAAGTAGATAACTAGACTTTTAATTGTTTGACTTTGAGTTTTATTGTTCATTTGCTTTGTAGATATGAACAACTGAACTGTGGTGCATCATTTTTGTCTAACAGCTCTTCTGAATCTGGGGATTTTTGTTTTGTTTTGTAGACAAATCAGTTTTAGACTTATGAATAAAGAAGAGCCAGGGATTGCTTGATGCTCATGTGTCTACATTTCATGAATTTCACAGTGTTCTTGATGCAAACAAGCACCTACTGTTTGTTTGATGTCAGGAATTCCAATGCGAAACACCATCATGGTCAGGAAAGTGTCCTCCTGCAGAGCCACTGTGGTCTTGCTGCGCTCCATGAGAGCTCGTCGCCTCTGCAGCGCACCCAGGCCTGTGTGATGAGGCTGCTGATTGGCTGCCATGAGATGATGATGCTGCTGCTTATTGGCTGCTTGATGATGCAGCGGGGCTTGATTAGACATGTAAGCAACGGCCCGGTTACCCAAGTTGCCCAGCCTCAGAGACCGGTCTGCTCTCTGTCGACCAACCACAATGGCTGCTGGTTTCACCACCTCGCCACCTTTTCCTTCCCAGGGTTGTCGTCCTCCTGTCATTTCCTTCTCCTCCAGACCCTCTAACCCTCCATTTTCGGTGTCACGTCCAACTTTCGCTTTTCTGATTTCTCCTCCCTGCTCCTCTTCCTCCTCCTCATCCTCCCCATCTTTGTCATCCTGATCGGGATAAAAGTGCTCGTTATTTCCCAGCATCCTTTGCTGTTGAGGGCTGAGTGACATAGCTGTCATGGAGACAAAACATGGCTATCCCATGAGACTGGCTTCATCCTTAGAAACATGCTGTGGGAAAGAGGTAGAGAAGGAAGTAAACTTTGGTTATTTAACTCTCATCATGTCATTGAAAGAGCAAACTTAGAAAAGTGTAAAAGACACATGCAATAACAGAAAAACTAGCCACTGGCAATACTAATAATCCACATGTGTGAATGAGCACAGAACTGGTCCACATTTTCCATTTAGCCACTGGGAATGCATGAGGGAATAGCAGGCTGATGAAAGACAGGTTATATATAAACTCAGTGAATCTGCATTACAGGTTCTTTGCAGAAGAGAGTGATTTAGCTTCACATGAGGTCAAGATCATTGCGACTTTATGATAATGCTACCGACCTATGTCTGAGATACAACCCAGGGCTAATGGCTAAATGTGAGCTTCTTAAAAGGAAAATTCCACCCTCAGACACTTGTACACCGTCGTACATCACCGGTCTTTGGTGTTGATTGTGATGCAGGTGTTATGTTTAAATGAGGTGATTGACCTCTTGGTGTTCTCCCTCCATCCAATCCCCCCACCTGCTTTATTTATGTTGACATCATTCATTGATGGGATACTTTTCCTACACTACCTTATGACAATCTCTAGATGCTTGCCTGAACTTGCTGCCAGTTTTGTGCAGCTAGAACAGTAATAATGATAATAATGAGCTCAGTCTATGGGGCTCCAAATAAAATCTGGTTTATTTACACAAACAAGATGGAGATTTCCAACAAAATCACAGGGACTCTGTTGGTTCTTGGGGTTTAGAAAGCTAAACAGTAGGTCCATATCCATGCTCTGTTATTTCCACTACTTGCAAGTATGAACAATGAGCATGGACACCATTAAATTAACAAATCAAGGGTTTGTTTGTCATCTAGATTTAAGGGCTGTGACACACCAAACCAACGTTTAGACGTCTGCTACCACTGGGCTGTCAGTGAGCATCTGTCGGGGCTCATCTTCCCAGTCTGTCCCACACCACTGGCACTAATCAAACCCTGTCAGTGGCTTTTTGGCTAACTTTAAGTCAAATCGGCGTCGGACTGGTTGACTCTTGTCATGAGAGGAACCGTTCTGATTGGCTGTTTAGCTTAGCGAAAAGGGAATGGTTCAGGAAAAGCCTCTTGAGCCTGTTGCTGTAGTATCCATAAAAATTTCACCCATTTAGTCCAGTTTCTCCTTGTTTTTCACCTCCATTGCTTATTTTCTTCTTCCACAATCAAAAGACCAAGGGCAGAGAATGCCAGTACCATTTGCAACTTCTTATCAGACATACTGTATGTTTGATAAGAATCAGTTATAAACAGCAGCTGCACTGAATAAGAGCTGCTTTGTTTACAGCTTGTTTGCAGATACCACCGCCTGCTGCTAGGGGGCTGTTGGCTGTAGTCGGCGTGGTGTGTCCAAGTACCACTTTTTCAACCTGAGTGGCCCAGAGGAAGGCGACGTGAGGCAACGCAACAGTTGGCCTTCATCGCTGCTAGTTCTTTCATGTCAGCATGGTGTGTCTCTGCCCTATGGGACTTTTTGCTTTTACTCAGCAAAGCTATCCACATAACTCAAGGAGTGGATATCTGAGTATACTGGCATTCACTTGCTCAGTTGTTGAAAGAGTTTGAGAACATGCTAAAAGTAAAATAGCTTGAAGCACTGTATGCTACAAAAGTTAGTTTTCTTTCTGAGTAAAGTAAAAGGCCTGCCCTTTGATTAAAAACCAACACGAGCTGTGGCTCTGTTGCGTTCCGGTCAACTGAGAACTCTGAGTGGAAAACTGCTTTATGTGGAACTGATTTCTTCCTTCATGAATATTTACACAAAATCTACAAACAGGACCTTGCTCTTTAATCTTTATGAACTGACTTCAAAACATGGCCATTACTGTTTTCTACTACACCACTCAACTGGCATTATGTGAAAAATATTTTCACTGACACAATGTCAGGTCCGCAGGGAGAAGAATGTGCTATCAAACAGCAAAACAGACCTAAAAACACATGCTGGATCACCAACAGCTGTTTTGGAACAGTTTTAAAAGTGCTTTCAGGTGGATTTTTGCTTTAAGAATGTTTCATAGTTTTACTGTGCTTCAGATTTGGCATACTGGCACCTCGATAATGTTTTGCCCTGGTTTTTCTGTGGTGAAGTCTGATTACAGGGGCTTTGCCATCATGCAGATCTGCACCATTGCCAGCAGCTGCCTTAATGATGGTAAATGATGCAGGGAATTTCTCAATGCCCTATTGACTGATTAGTGCTCTAAATATCATATGAAGTGGGAGTTGGAAATACTGTAGATCAGTGTCAGAAAGCTCAGATGGAAAGATGGAACTCAGATGGAGACAAACTCAAATTAGGACACAGATCGAAGCTCAGTCAGTCACAAATGACCAACATGCTTAAAGAGTCAATCAGTTATTAATAAAATATGTAGAAAAGATGGTGTTGATGGAGGTTAAAGGGGAATTAAGTGATCTGCGACTTTAGACTTATCAACCTCTATCGGAGACCAAGGAACATCAACAGGTGTCTGGCACAGTGTGCAGTGGCCTGTAATTGACAAATAATGTAGAGATGAAGAAGCGAGCCAATAGCCAGAGATCCAACAGAAACAGTTTACAAAGCAGCCATAGGGTAGATCCACTATCAAAACACTAACAAGTGCTGGTTCCACCTCTATAAATGTGCATTAATGAGTTTGTGTGTATGTTTGGATGCCTTGGAACTAGGACCAAATATCTTCATAATAACAGGAAGATGGTAAAAATGCACATGGTGTTTGAGGGTGGGCAGGTGGTTGAGATTAGTTCTAGTTATTAAGTAAAGTTAGGCATTAGAATTAGCCTTAGGATTTTGTTCATGGGTTAAAGTGAACCTTTTGGCTTGCAGACCCTTAAAAATGAAGCAATGTCTAACTATGACCTCTCTTCATTGGTTGTATATGTCTATGGTTGCAATCTGTTACACACACACACACACACACACACACACACACACACACGTAACTGATTAGAGAAAGGTCTGGGAAAAAACAAGCATAAGTTTAGGTTTTGGAAATGTGTTTTTTCTGCCTTATTTATCTCCTGACCTTCAGGTTGAGCACAATTGGGCTGACATTAAGCACAATTTTAGCATGTGGGTTCAGGGAAGTGGGATTAATCAATGTTCAGACATAATAAAAATATTACAAGAAAGAGAGAGATTGACCTGGAAATTAGACTTAAAAAAATTGGTCAATTTACAGTAACAATAAAACCTGGCTCAGTCCTCCAGCTTTGCACTATTATGGTTATTTTGTAGGGGACAATACAAATAACAGTTACATCTGTCAGGACAACCTTAATTTTAATGCCAGTGTTTGAATGAAGGACTAGATGTGTGGAAAATAATTCAAGTCTGGCGTGTTCGTGTCTCACTGGCCAAAAGGTTGCCTGCTAGTTGAACATTTGGGATACCACAGAGGGAAGTGGACTGACCATGGCCGATTCCCTGAGACACTCTCAGAATGACAGGGTGGGCCACTTTAACACAAACATAACATCTATCAAAGCTAGTAAACCAGGGAGAGAACAGAGGGACTGCTTTAGAAAAAAAACATAACCGGCTATGTATCTAACCATTTAGGAAAAATAATCTCACAACAAGCACTGAAAACATTAACCACACACATTAATGTGGTGTCAGCAAACAAAACTTTTCTTCCTTAAGGTTTTCTACCATTGGCAGTAAATTAAACAGTCCCTATCATCCATAAGAGAACTTAGCTGTTCAATCATCAGTGTATTGAAATCCATATTCAGCAAACATTCAACCATAGGGAAGAGCACACTATAATACCCCCTCTGGGCTTGGTAGTAACTATGATTTACACGTTCACTATGTATGTGTCACATTTTAGGCCAAAAATTTGTCTGATCAAAAGCCAACAAAGAGCTCTTGAGGTTTTGGAAATTAACACCATCATTCAAGTACACCAGAAGGAAACAGAGGTGGTTGATTTATGAATAAAGTCTCATCAAATATTGAACAACACTAGACTGGAGCTGACTAATTGGGATGTAAAAGCCAAAGGGGAACACACAAGGGAGAGACAGAGAGAGTTGTATTTTGCATAAAGCAGAGAAATCAGACTAGTGAATGGGGGGGGGGTTTGGGGTTGAGAGGACATTCATAGAGAATGGAGCCAAAATCAACAGCAACATGAGGCTGGAGATAGGATGAGGGAAGTTTAGTGTAAAGGGATGCTGTTTGATTTCATATTCTAACTACGGCAGTTCCCATCACACTTCTTAAATCCCTTTCAGCCAGTGTGGCTGTTGTCTCATCTTTGCCTTCCCCATCATGTCAATCAGCTCCTATGTGCTGCCACAGCAATAGCTCAGGTTCCTGATACCAGCTGTTTGGCTGTTTGGCTACCCATTGTCTCTCCAGCTAAAATTGACTTTTGTTCATTTTGGGAGAACAACGATGGAAGAGAGGAATTTCAGTCTCCCAACAGAACAGTCTTTCTGCATCTTCTGTCAGAGATGGAAAACTCAATTCAAATCATTGTTCTCTTGCACTGAGTTTCTTCTTTTTTCAGCCACTCACTGAATACATCTTCAGTAGGACTTTTTGTCTTATTCAAATATTGTCTTGTGTTTGTTTTCCTCAAACACCGTGGGGTCAGATGAACGTGCTCAGGGCACCCTGAACAATGCCTTTCTTGTAACTTTTTTGTATTTGGAGCAGGAACATCTAATATTATTTAAAACCAGATGAAATTTCTTATTTTGCTGTGATGGTGATTTTAAGATTGTGGAGAGGCCACAAACACAGACCACCATGGGCAGGTAACAGACAGAAACCGGTCACTATCTTTTGTTGTGCAAGCAGTATGACTCAAATGTTTTGCTCAGGCCAGCAGTAGTTTTACAATTATATCTAAAACATTTTATATGTATGGCTGGAACCTTGGCATATCTCAAAGTCCTTGGTTCATAGTGTGTTTATCACATCCCTACATGTCTTTTATACGATCAAGGATGCTCATGCCTCTTATATCAGCGCTGAGGAGTGAGGACAAAGGGCAGAGATGAATTCCATCCTTGAGCACCTGAAAAGCAAAAACAGCTGGATGGATGAATTTACAGAGAGAGGTCCTGGACATCTCTCGTCTCTATTTACCTTTGCCTTTTCTGACACAGCTTCCCTTCGCCCTTTTTCTGCAAAGTGTAGCAAAGTTGCAATAATGACTTCAGGGCTCATTTGGTTGCTTTAGTCCTTTGGGTTCCATATAAACAAAACATTACACATGTTTCGGGCTAATAACTCAAATTTACTGCATTGCAAATTATGCACAGTGAAAACAGTGTTGGATTTTCAGAGGATTGATTTTAATGTGTTATCCCTTTTGCTTTCTGTGTCTCTTATATTTATACTCTGTAGAGTTCACTGCGATAGCTGCTGAGTATTGGGTCTGTGCTGAAAGGGTTTCTCCTCCTCTTTTGGTCAGTCTCAAAGAAAATTGAGCACAGTGCCAGCACAATGCACTGTAAAGACCTTATGGTGAGTCAGTTCAACTCGTACTCCCTCTCTTTGTCAATCTCTCTCTTTCTTGATTTCTCTTTCTCACTCAGTCACCCTCTCCCTATGTAGGACAGAGCATGTGTATATATATTTTCAGTGTACTGGTCCCCAGAAAGTAGAGCTGGAGATCATCCAAGGAACAGATTGTCCCACTTTTATGTCCTGCAAAAGTAGAGCGGCCAAGTTCTGTCCTCTGTATCCATCTCTTTCACTAGGTCTCCACCCTTCAGTTGCTTTCACACCGCCAGTGACGAGCAACTGCCTAGAACACTAAGCTTCCTCCAGCACAGGATGGATGGGGTGAGTCACTAAACTGGGGGAGAGGGCACTCTGTTTTATATGAATGGTGCATCACTAGCCATCAGGTCTGAGGGTGGTGCTCTGACGTAGGAGTTTAGGTGGGAAGGGCCAAGCTGGAGTATAACAAGTGGATTCCCTGCAGTATAATACATCAACACTCCTCACAGTTAACTGCAAATGTCAATACAATGGGCAAATCCTTCAAGGTTCAATGCCTATGCTCTCTAAAATGTGAAAAGTATTGAGGTAGGTGCTTTTATGTATTTGTACTCTTTCCTGTCACTATAACGAGGCTTGGCATTTTCAGATGTTAATTAATTGTGCTTGATAAAATCAAATCAAATGCTTTATTGACAATGATGGTGTCCTTGATTAATGTTACAGGCAGATAACAATACAATAGATTCAGTCTCTGAGATTCTGGCACTTCCCTCAGCATGGGGAGAAATTCTTCTATTCAACACAGATACTTTTAATCAGCTGCATTTCTGATGCTAATCAAACAACAATGACAACCCTGGTAATCAGTAATTGAGTGGATGATTAAAGTAATTACCCCCAACTCTCCATTTCACAGTAAACATCCTGCTCCTTTGGTGTGCGTTTCAGCACGATCCTCCCCATCACCACTTCAGCAAAGATGAGCTTTTGTAGGAAAAGGAGCAACAGCTTAGCTCATAGTTTATACATGGCGCGCCTGATGATCCAGGCATGTGTGTACACACCTATTGCATGAGCTCACACACAGACATTCCACAGTTAGACTAAGCATCACTCAAACACATCTGGCCTGGAAAAATGTCAAACAGAAAGCAACAGTTAAGTGCCAGACCTGTCAGCTCGAGCTTGGCTGGCGGTCTTGTGTAGATCAAAGTGGGCTATCTTTCCCTGTAGACTGGATATAACTGGGTCAGGTGGAGCATGCGCTGAGGGCCTAGCTAGGGCTAAACTTGGTTGTATGGGTTGGGAGACCTCAGTGCAGCACATATTTACAAATTAACAACCTTTACAATGTTTGTGAAACTTCCCCCCTCCCATAACCACTGTTTGATGCTGAAGCTTCTTTGTCTGACTACGCAACAGAAATCTCTAAATTAGTGTTTTTCAGCTTTTACTTTTCTGGATGATGATCCCAGATTTCCATGGCCCAGTTATCTGAACTCTAAGTATAGCACAATTTTATATTGTACTTCCAAGCACTTAATTGATATGGAAATAAAAATATGTGATGTTGAAAGTCTCCTTTGACCCTCTCTACACATCAAGCAACCCTTATGTAGGATGCAAGACTAACACAAGGACAGTATGTTTCAAACCTGTTGAACATAGTTTCACCTACCCCTTCAGTCTTTAATATTCATGAAGTATATTTAATGACTTAGAGCAGCTTAATATTTCACATTTTATTGGAAGTTATTACTGCTCAGTAATGAGCGAACCCTGGTAGGCCAATATATAAGATACAACGTTTCTGCTTCTGTTAGTTAGTAGAGTGTTCCCTTTAACATTGACACCAAGTCCCGGGTCCATGTGCACGTCTGTGTCAGTACTGAGGCAAACAACTGGTGTGTGTTGCTGCATTATACCCAATCTTGTATTAACTTACTGTATCATCTGAAATACTTAATGATAAGCTGGTGCAATGCTTAACACCTTATTTCTCAATTGTGGCCCATATTCTGTTATAAACTAGCCTAAATGGGCTAGTTTATAACAGAATATGGGCCACAACAGAGGGAAGCACCGATGTAGGGTCCAAACATTTTCCAATAAAACAGGCCATCTTGTGTCAGTTAACCTTTTCAAGGGCATCACATACTTAGAACTTGACCCAGGGCTCCAGACTACAGTCCTCGGATTTCAAATAGAATGAAAGCAAGCCACAGACAAAGTAGTCAGACGCATGAAGATGAGCGTGGGTTTAAGGCTTTAGGGTGGACTTTATGGCAGATGAACAGCCACAAATAGACTGTCCAGCAGTGACAGTTTCACTTACCTTGCACGTCCACTGACATAAAGGTAACACTGAGAGACAAAAGTCAACAGGATACTAATAAATGCTGTTAGAC